TATATATATATATAGCCTCTATGGTATCTCATGATTAAAAAAAGTCGTATCGTGAAACATTTAACGATAAAGACAAACAGAACAACTTGAATCGCCATTTCACCTCATGTTTGGTCTTGTTTTCAGGTTCATCAAGCATTAAAATTCAAGACGACAAAACTGGAGCAATCTACAGTGTTGATGCCCACAATTTATCTTCATCTGCTAGAAGCTTGAATATTGGAAAATTTATTTCTCTTCTCATTATTTGCTTCATGTTTCATTTATTCCATTAAATCGGCACATGTGATTGATTGATAACATTTTTTTCTCACATGTTGGCTTCATTTATATGTTTCTTTTTTTTATTATATAGAAAACAATGCGTACATTCACATTTTCTTAGCCCTGCTGACATGATTGAGAGCTTTTCAAAAATTTCTTATATTTTCATTGTCCTCTGGAAATGATAAGGTTTGATGCAAAGCTTTGTGCAGGATGTTTTGAAATTTTAGATATATTTTTGAGATGGAAAAGAAGTATTAAGAACCCACGATGTCCACCTTAATTAAATTATAAGATGTTTCTAATTGCATTCATTTTGCTTAGTTTAGGTGTAATAAAGATTGAAGTCATTGTTCAAAATGCAATCATCCAAATTTTAGAAAAATTAGAAAAAGATGTTGAAGTTGTAATGTATTTATAATACTATTCATCTAGGAACAATTTAAAAGCTTTTGACACTTTTGATGATACAAACCAAGATTAATTAATGAACCTACAGATATTGACTACGGGGACACATTTGATGTTGATAAATTAACATAAATGTGAATATAAATGATGATTATTTGATTTCATAAGCTGCTTTCTATAAACTTTTCTCATGATTTTTATAAGGAGATAATCGTATTGTTGTATTTAAATTTGTTAGGGAGTCACACCTAAGGAATAGAGCGTAGAAGAGGATGGAGGGAGGGCGAGTAAGAGAGAGAAGCATTAATGAAATGGATTTTTTATTAGTCTTTACTGAAGAAATGATCTTATTTATAGGTGTTGGATACACAATTTGTAATTACATGTTCACTGTTTTAATGGGAGCATTATATGCTATTTTAAGTATTTTATATAAGTGGGTTTATGGTTCGGTTACCCTATTATTTGTTTGGTTGAAATCAACGGGTCTTGGTTTGGTAAATTTTTTTTCATTTTACTGTGTTGAGTTTGGGGTTGCTGGATTATTTTTTATGGTCTTCTGTTTGACCAAACTTGATTTGATCGGCTTGATTCTGTCGGTCGGCTGCTTTGGTTTGATTATCAATTCCTATATGAGGTGTTCCTATCGTCAGGAAGAGACTAGGTTGTTGGACAGAAGATGAATCACCATAATCTAATAGTTAATTAACATATTAACAAATGGTTTTTTAAGGTGTTTGAGAAGTATATCATGGTAGACCCCCAACCTCTTGATGAAGAGTTTCAGAGACCCTTATGATATGGCTAGCATTGTTGGGGTGAGAGTGGGCTGATGTCCTCTCCGGCTTGATATATCTTGGTCTTTAGTTCAGACAACCTGGTCCGATTGTCTTCTGATCTCATTCTTAGGGAGTTGGTCAATTAAGTCCTTTGATCTTAAGGTGATGAGACTTTTGGTCTTCCACATGTGGGCCCTCCTAGACATACTTTTCTATAGCTTAGCTAGTTGGATTTCTTTGAGATTCATTCTGACATATGTCTAATGTACATATTTTAGTTTCCCGATTCACTTACTTCTTGAGAGTGAAAATAACGATAAAAGTAAAATAATTAAATACAAAAGTGGATTTATTTGTTTCGTAATCAATAGATTGATTGAACTTCCCAGATTTTCGTTCTCGTGGCCTTTATAAATATGGCATGATTATTGCTTTTGTTATTTGCATTTGCTTTCGAGCTTGTACATCTTAGTCGGTTGGCTTCAAAAAGTGCTTTCATAGCAACTGGTAAGAAGTTGGTAGAGGATGTCCTCACTGAGGAGATGGTACACATGAAATTATGTGTGTGTACTCCCCCAAATAACCTTTCAATAACTCAGCTATGGGAATTTTTGAGAGGTTATTGGAGAATTAACTACAAGAATTAACTACAATAACCTCTCAGTAACCCTCAAATAACCTATCAATACATTTCATGATTCCGTTGTCATATTTGTTGATGTTATTCAGTAGTTTTATCAAGTTATTGGGGGTTTTAACCCCAATATCACTGATATAGCCCTCTAATACCGACCGAATAACCTCTATGCATGTGTACGTAAATATTTTTTGAGGAGATGATGATGAAGGCCTTCGGCTTCTCCAAGTCGTGGTTCCACCCTGAGAATAAGTTTGAGGGAAAGAAATGTCAGAAGGAGGAAGCCGGCCCAAAGGTGAAAAGTGGCATGACGAGATGAATATGCTCGAAAGAGGGAGTTGGCCCAAGTGTGAAAAGTGGGTCAATAAACTTACTCACAAGAAGAAGCTGGTGGAAGATCCGACAGATGAGGTTGTGTCATCCAACTCATTTCCACTTCTTCGATGGAAGGAGGGGGAAGCAAGTTTTGGGGGGGG